TAAATTTGCGGGATCACACGTGGGTGAGGAACGTTCCCCTAAATTTTCAGCTTCCTAGCTTTTGTGATCCCCGAGCTGAAAGTTGCGAACAAGTTGCTGCGGACACACACACACACACACACAAACACACACACACACACAGGCAACCCCGTGAAAATATTTGTTTTGTACTGCTGTTACACAGCACAAAACGCATAAAAATGGAGGTAAAAATTCATAAAGGAGACATTTAACGGTGGCGAAGTGATGAACCTGAAAAAACTCGGTACTACATCTTCATCTGATTCCAACAGAGTGTAGCGGAGAGTTTAGTGAATTTTTTCAAAGAAAATGTAAGGAACAAAATAAAAGAAGCGCCAATAATGAGGCCAAATGTACACAAACAGGAAAGAATATTACAGGTCACTGGTGGTGACTTTTGCAATGGTCTTCTTGATGAGTTGCAAGCTACGTGATGTGCTTATGACAAAACCATACGAACTCACATTTAGAGAAATGGGTGATCCTGGACGTTTGACACGAATATGCATCAATATAAGCACCGGCTAGTTTCTTCTTTATTTTTACTATTTTGCTGCAAGTGGAATTATTGGTGATTATGTGGAAATTATTAAGAAAGCAAATATGACAGACACAACACTTTTTTTCACTCCAATACAAGTACCGCTATCGATAGAGCTGGAAATGAAGCAGGGGGTTTTATTATACCGCCCAATCTTTTCACAGCCTGTGCCAAGATGGTATTTCGGAAGCGGAGTTAAAAAGGTAGTCAGGAAAACAATGGTAAGCGGTATTCGCCAGACAAATGAGATGCTACAAGAGCTTAACGCGTAAAATTTGAAACGTGACTGAAATAAACGCGTTGAAAACGAAAGTGTTGCAAAGCACCAACATGCAAGTTTGCAGACATATGGTATTGGTTTGATAGAATTGGAAAAACATGTTTGTTTTGACCAGGGCGTAAATACGTGCCAACATTTTCAGGTCGAAGATTGCACGATTGTCGGCAGGTTCAGATTTCACAGCACTGCTGATTTCTTCACAGTGATAGGCCAGAAAGACTATGTGGGAATCAGCAATACTGTGAAATGCGTTTGTGTTGAAGGCAATGACGCGCAGATCTAAAAAGTAATTGTTGAAGGAAGCAGAAAGCCAAAAATAGCAATGGCAGGGCGAAAGTTGCATGGGATGTCTGTTTGTAACATATAATCAAACTCAGTATGAAATAAATAACATCCAGGATGCTGTTGCGGTTGTACCGGAAAGCGAAATTGGGTGGGAGAAAGATGCCCCTCACTAAAGTGGTACGATGGACCTCGCGTATTAGTGAGCACTTAAAAAACCACTTGGATGACTGGTGGCGCACGAATAATGAACGAATGGTAGGTGCTGAACAGGTTAATTGGAGACATGCAGTTCAGGTTCAAAGGGTCTGACATAACGCATATAAGTGAAACCACTGAATCACTAGCATGGGATCCCCTCACTGATTATCTGGCAGTCTTGCTTTCTTTTCGTGTTTTTTGGAACCATTAAAGCTTTTTGTTTCTATTAGCATACTGTTTTTATGTGAAAACTACCTGATTGTTTGTGCTTACATAATTTTTACAAAAACATTCGCAGTAATACCCGAGTGCGGGAAATCTAAGTGCCACTCAGCAATTTTCAACCCACTGAATTCGTTTTTGGCATTTCAGCTCGAGAAGCGAAGCTTTATCACCTGGAGCACATTCTGTACGGGAAGCTGATCTACATATTACGGTCTTCCGAAGCGCTGATTAGCTATTCGCAATATAAAATGAAAAACATTATATAAGAAATTGATATGTGTACAGTTTTCCTAAGTTGTTTTCGTTAATTTGCATTCTCATCGATTTGTTCAGGCTTTAAGTAAATGATTCGTGAGAAACTGAGGCAAACAAATACTTTTAATCAATTGTCAGCATTTTTCACTTTATTCAACTGAAATATGGAGTTGTTTTGAAGTTCATGCAGTTCCATCTCTTACAATACTAGATGCCTCGCTTACGCAGATATGACAAACAAACTGGAAGAATACATGAATGAGATGAAAGTATAAAGCGAGTACGGTTTAGTTCATGAAGTGGGACCAATACCTTCTTCGTTTAGAGTTTTAGTGTGACGACCAAATGTGGATCAAAATAAGTGTCGTGTGAAGCCGAACATCTGGAACGTCGTTGAATTTTCCAGAGACTTTAGTCACAAGTGACGCCGATTTCAGGAATCGATTGCTAACTGAAACTCATCGGCTAATAGTTTAAGCCTGAAATTAATTCCAAAAACCGAAGCTGGAAAGCACCAGGCTCTCCGATGCGATCATGCGCTTTTGCACTAAACTCGCTGATCGCTATTAGCAGGAATGACCCCTACGCTGTAGCCTAACGCTTGGGTCAAATTGGCGTGCTTTGATCTTTTCCGGCGTGCAAGGAGGAAGGGCATCAGTTGCGAAGCAGTGAAGGTTGTGCATTATAGAGCCGCACGGACATCCAAGTGCATGACTACCGGTTTTATGCATGAAGTCCGGTCGATTTTCGGAAATGCTCGCTTTGTGAAAAAATGACAAATGCAAATTCCTTGAAAAAATGCAAATTTCCAGTTCATGAAAAATTGAAAGTGTTGCTCGATCGGTCGTCTATCAAGAAATCCATTTTCATTTGCATATACGATCGCGGTTCAGGTCCGAGTTGCGAACGATTTTTGAGTTGAGGAACTGCTTGAGGGTGTGATTGGGAGGCTCAACAGCTGAGTTTAAAATCTTTAGCTCGCTCGTGCATACAGAATATCCCTGCAAAGTTTCAGCTTTCTGTCTTGGCTGGTTCGCGAAGTCGTTTCCCGCCAACAAGTTTCCTTGAGGTCCCATACGCGGAGTCAAGGCGCTTATGGGGGAAGATCTTAAAACGAGAGGATGACACACGGGGTAAGAACATATATCCAAAGTTTCAGCCTCCAGTTTTCCTGGTTGCTGAGATGAAAGTGGGTGACAAAATGCACTCGCTTCCGAACACATACACACACACCCTCTCGACATTATGCGTTTTTGCTGGCTGTAGCAGCGCGCTGCTGTAGGGCAAAAACGCATAATAAGAATAAGACTGGAAATACCTAGCAAATGGAGCATACTGAAGGACGAAGGGAGGGCTTTTATGAGAAATGCTGTATACACTGAACATGCACTCGGTACCAACAGGGTGTAAAATAAGTGAAGCTCAGTCTATGTTCGAGTCGGACCTCAGATTCCTCTTCCAGTGAGTGTTTAGTCATGGCCCGTTACCGAAACTTTTGTTATTGTAGGTATTTTTTTGATTGCTCTTTAAAGTTAGATTCTAATGTTGGCGACGTCGAACCTTTCAGTTGTAGCATGACTTAGATTCTAATGTTGGCGACGTCGAACCTTTCAGTTGTAGCATGACTTCCTTCGTAGCCTTCCTTAGTTTAGAATTTTATTTGAAAAATCAAGTGTGGATTAGATATGCGACGCTGCCGAACATACCAGAACGTTGTCGAACATACATTCCAGAAATTTTAAAATGTCACCAAATTCCATATTGAATTGCTGAAGGAACTTCCAAGAATGTGACAACATTGATAAATCCGACTCCTAACTTTGGGAAAAGGTCAACTGTGGATTAGATAGGAACAGATGGTAGATCAAAACATTCCAGGAAGCCGTCGAACTTTTCAGAAGTTTGAGGCATAAATGATGCGATTTCTGGCCGAAACTCACTGGCTTACAGTTTATGTATTCGCCCAAATGGGCGTCTCACTTTCATGCCTGGATCGAGTTGGAAAAATCTTGTTGCTGCATCTCAACAGATTCCTGCTGGAAGTTATTCTTCACAGTAAGAGAGCAGGCACGAAATTTTTATGCTTTTTTAGCATCTCGGTAAAAAAAATCATTGGTGACGCGCACTGGACAGGCCCGTGCGATCATATGTTTTTGCAATATTTCGTGCTGTAATGAGATCGCTCGGAACCCTGTAGCTGGAAATGTGTGATATACTGGTCCTCGAAATCCGGAAAGTGTGGACGGGG